TTGTCCTGGTTTCAACAGGAAAGCCTTCTCAAGAAATGCAACACAATAAAACATTGCCGTGTGTTGGAAATAATGAACGTGCGTGACCTTGGTCAACAGCTGTTCCCAGAAAACAAGGCCCCAGGGAGAACAAAAGACCCAGGCCTCCCCAGTGATGGGGAGAGGGGCAGCAGTGGCACCGAAGTAGGGTTATGGAGACCCCAAGCTGGAGTGTGGGGAATAATGGACAAATGAAGAGAAAAGGGAAATCTTTACAACAGCCGTCTTTTCCGAATAAAAGGAACTCATCCAACTTAACGACTAAAACCAGCATTGCTCATCAGTTCCTAATAACACCCATTTCAGGGCTTTTTGTCGTTGGTCCTATTTGGTCATTAATAGCAGCAGAAACAGAAATGAAACCAGGAATTAAATATTCATATTCCTGATGTGAAATGAAATTATGCTTTGCCAAGCATTTCAGCCAAGTGTTGACAGGGAATTAAATCAGAATTCACAGGGGCAATGAATTTTCTGACAAGTGTTGGATTTCAGCATTCCTTGCTTGCAGGCAAAACGGGACAAGAGGAGTTGTGCTTGGCATTAAACCAACTCCTCCCTACCAGGAAGAGGGTCTTTGTTCCTGTTGAGAGTGACTCATTGGGTTATTTCAGCTGTCCCTCCACCCTGGTGGGTCTAGCTTTTTCCATTCAACCCAGATAATACCTGTAAAGGATCTGAGGTCCCCAGATAAGAAGTGGCATTTCAATAGAATTTGGTATTCATAGGATGATGAAAATTATGACATCATTAGTCCAGTTCCTGTGGCACAATAGTTTGAGTCCACAAAGGGCTTCAGTTGTGTTCTCAGAAGTAGCCCTTGTAGTGAGCTCGTAAGCATAGCATTGTTGCTTTGTAATCTCAAAACTCAGCCCACAGTTGCTAACATTTGAAGCAGTATTCAAAGACACGACATCATAACTGAATGTCACCCTGACATAATGCTATTTCAAGGTATGTCTAATATATATGTCTATTCAGGATAGCACAATGCTATGATTTGTGTATTATTTGCCTCCTGAACTCATGCAAATGTTTAAAATCCAAGGTCTCAAGTTAACGGAACTGAGAGGGTGGAAACTTAACACGATTCTCATGTTTAGCAGATGAACCTAATGGCAAGTGCTTAGAACATTGGGGGTGTGCCCTCAGAAGGTGGTTCTCATGGAGAGGCTGGGTTTAAAAAGCCAAGTTGGGGGAGAGGGGCAGTGCTATGGCTCAGTGGGTTAAAGCCACTGCCTGCAACGCTGACATCCCACGTGGGCGCTGGTTCGGGTCCCAGCTGCTCCACTTCTGATCCAGCACCCTGCTAATGGCCTGGGAAAGCGGAAGAAGATGGTCCAAGTGCTTGGGCCTGTATATCCACGTGGAAAACCCGGAAGAGGCTCTTGGTTCCTGGCTTCCGATTAGCCCAGCTCTGGCCTTTGTGGCCCTTTGGGGAGTGAACTAGCAGATGGAAAGTCTCTCTCCCTCTGTCTCTCCTTTCTCTCTCTCTCCCCCCTCTCTCTGTCTCTCTGTATCTGACACTGCCTTTCAAATATATAAATAAATGTTAAAAAATGAATAAAAAGCCAAGTTTGCCCAGCTGCTGTCTCTTTCCTCCTGACTCCCACTGCCATCCACAGCCCTCATGGATGTGAACCTCCAAAACCATGAACTGAAATAAATCTCTTATTCCTTCATAAATAGCTTTTCTCAGGAATCGCACTGGAATTCTGAAATGTTGAAAAATATGGAGGGCAGTCACATAACGTATATAGAACGTCCGATTTTAGCATGACCCATGATCATGGGCACCAGAAGCCTGTACACTCTGAGAAAGGCATTGCCACTGATTCTCGATTAAGAAGTTACTGAACTGCATCCAAGCTGAGCCCGATCCGTGTCCTAGTGATCCCACTTGCCTCTCTTGAATCAGGGTTCGCCTGATCCTCACTCTCTTGGGATGCACGTCCTGTTCCTTGTATGGTGTAAGCGGGCAAGGTGCAGGCACGGTCACATGGATACTGTTTAATCCCAAGAGGTCTCAGGGGCTCGTGTGTACAGTTCATGGCATAGGAATGCTGGCAGTGCCGTGAAAACGGTACACCACTCAGGAGCTCTCCAAACACTCTAACTGGAATTCGCCTTTCCTCTGAAGAGCACATTTTCTCCTACGTGCTCACAAGATATTAACAAATATCCCTTCCTCTTAACAGACCTCTGTCTATATTGACATGGTCTACAGCAAGAAATTAAATCCCTTTCAAGCCTTGTGGGTCTTTTAGATCTCTTTGGTTCTGATTAAATCAATTCATTGTTATATCCCCTTTTGCAGAAGGAATCATTTCCACATTCTTCCCTTATATTCTCTCTTCCCTGTTTTTCACCACTGAGAAAATTCGTATTGGTCTTGTCCATGTGTTTAGAAAGGGTGGGGCCAGCGCTGTGGTGTAGTGGGTTAATCCCATATGGGCACCAGTTCGAGTCCAGGCTGCTCCACTTCTGATCCAGTTCCCTGCTAATGCGCCTGGGAAGGCGGCGGAGGATGGCCCTTCGGCCCCTGCACCCACATGGGAGACCCAGAAGAAGCTCCTGGCTCTGGCTTCCATCTGACCTAACTCTGGCCATTGCAGTCATTTGAGGAGTGAACCAGAGTACGGAAGATATCTTTCTCTCTCGGTCTCTCTCTGTCTGTCTGTCTCTCTCTCTTTGTAACTCTGCTTATTCAAATAATAAAATAACCTTTTTAAAAAAATAGAAAGGGAAAAGTTAAGTGGACCCACCAAACAGAGCCCTGCTCTGGGAAGTGGAAAGAACAGCTAAGACATAGGCAGGGCAGGACTACGCACACATCCTTGTCTTTCCAGAGATCATCTCTCACCCTGTCTCGGGCACAGCCCATGGGAATCCATTAGCTCAGCAGTAGAGCTGTGAAAAATGGAGAACAAGACGAGGGTTGAGGACCACTCCTGCCTCTGACAGCTCCAGCATCGTCTCTTATCCTGGCAGACAAGATGGCACACAGGCACGCTGGGACAATCGGAAGTGGCAGGTATGAACATGGCCTTTCGGGCTTGTTATTCCTTATGACATTCCTAAATCATCAAACCAGGGAGCAAGATGTGAACCAGAAAGCGGTTAATTGAAGCTGCAGAAGGAAGACAGGGGTTGGGGCCAGGCAGAGATAAGACAGAACAGGCACATTCTATTTACAAGGGAGTGCCAGGGGAGAGTGCTCTGAGGACTAAAGTTCTGTGAAGCATGTTGTTTTACACTTATCATTTTTTTTAATCATTGCAGCAAGTCCAGGAGGTTTCCTGAGGATGCATTCAAGGCCCTCCTGCCCTCAAGCCCCCTTTCTGCCCAGGGCCCATGTTTGCCTGCGTGGTGTGTTTGTGAAGCTGGGGGCCAGAATACCGACAGGGCCCCTGAGACTCTAGAGAGTGGTCTCGAGTCAGGATTTACCAGTCTGCCCTTGGCTAAGAAGGACCTAGTTCCAGCGGCGACTCTGCCACTTAACCCCTTGCGCAGAGTCCAAATGGCCTCAGTATCTTCAGTTTCATATAAAAGTAGCAGGTGCATATTCAGTAAATGTCATTTTACACATGTCATTTGGCGACTCTTAGCTGAGTGTTGGTAGCTGAAGACATTTGTGAATGAGGACTAAATGATCCCAGGAGATGTGGAGTTGGGAGAAATTCTAGCCATCAGTTTGAAAAGACTAGAACTAGGGGCGATGTGCGACCCAGTGGCTAAGCCACACTAGGATGCCCACACCCTGCATCCGAGGGTCTGGCTCCAGTTCTGACTCCTCTGCTTTCCATCCAGCTTCCTGCTCATGCACACTGTGACAGGCAGCAGGTGTAGCTCAAGTGCGTGGAACCCTGCCACCCACACGGGAAGCATGGATTGAGTTCAGGGGTTCAGGCTTCAGCCTGGCGCAGTCCTGGCTATTGAAAGCATTTAAGGAATGGACCAGCAGAAGGAAATGCACTCTCGCTCTCTTTCTCTCTGGGTCTAGTTTAGCCATTGCAGGAACTGAACCAAGGGGCACTGGGGGCACCCCAACTCCCCAGCCCTCACCCACCTGCCACGGCCCAGGCACCTCCAATGGCCCAGGAGGCGCACCTAACTTCCAGGTGACGCAGGGTGCCAGGGAAACCTGCAGGGCCGCGGTTACATGGGAATAGCGGGAGGCGGCCGGGAGGAATAGCAAGGACGCTTGGCCGTAGACCTTGGGGTAAGTAATTGTCAGGACGTCTAGGAGCGCACCGAATAAAGCCAGGGCGAGAACGCCCGTGGGCGCAGGTGATTTCTGAACGGAAGTGCTCTTTGAATGCCGGGGCCTAGCGAGGGCGGGGTCAGGGGCTTGTCTGACTCAGTTTACCCAAGACCGGCCTTGCTCCCCCCACCCCCGCCTCCAACGCGCCGCCAGGACGATCCAGAGGGCTCGGGGGTCAAGGGCAGGGCCTGCTTCTTTTTCTTGAAATTCCCGCCCGGGCTCTGGCCAGGACTCTCCCCTCGCAGCTCATCACGTGCGCAGCCCGAACTGTGCAAACCCAGCCCGGGGCCCGGGTGGTTTTTCGGGTTTTCTTGCTTTCTTATTTCCCTTCGTCTTCTCCACAGTGGATGATTTTCTGCAGAAAAACGGCTGCGAAAAAAAAAAAAGAACCGATTTCATTTCCAGTTCCCATCACCGCGATTTCCACATGGATGTGACGTCGCATCCCCGCTTCCGAAATGCCCAGGTGACTCACGCGGGGACACCCCGCGGGGCGGGGCGCAGGAGTTTCTGAGCCACGCCGGGGCGGGGCGGGGCCAGGCCGCCGGGGGCGGAGCGTCCGGGCGGAGCGTCCGGGCGGGGCGGGGCGGGAGCGGCGCGCGCCGCGGGCCTCCAGCGAGCGCCGCGTCCCCTGCCCCCTGGCGGCCGGCGCCGGCTCGGCCAGGCGGGCGGCGTCACGTGACTGGAAAGTCCCCGCGGAAATCCCCCCGGCTGTCGCGGTACAACTGAAAGGGTAGAAAGGAAACTGCGCAGTCTGCAGCCCTCGCAGCCGAGCGCCAGGACTTTGGAGTGCGCGGGGGCGGAGCGGCGAGCGCGGCCGCCAGAAGACATCACACACACCCCCACCCCGGCCGGTGAGCGAGCCCTAGCCCCGGCGTCCATGGGACGCCGCCTCGTGCCGACCCCCGCCCCGACCGCCACCTGCGGCGCGCGCCTGCGGTGACCGGCGCTTTGGGGAACTTGGGACTGACTCTGGGAGAGGATCGCGCCGCCCGGAGAGGTAACCCCCGCGCGCTGTGCACGGGCTCTCTGGGGCTGCGGGTGCGAGTCGGCCCGCCTCCCTGGCCTTGGCTCTTGCAGCGTCCCCCGGAGAGGAGTCTGTGGCTCTTGTGTACCCGTGCTGAGTTTTGGAGTGTTGGGCGCTGCGGTCGCCGCGCCAGATGTTGGGGTGACAGCCGGCTCTTGCTTTCCAGTAGTGCAGAGAACCTGAGCTGCAGGTGCCTGGCGCCCCTTGCTCGGGTGGTCGTTGATGCTTCGCCCGTTTCTTTGCCTCTTTTTTAGGGGAGAGGTGGAGGGGGTGGAATCAGGCACTGCATGTTCTCGGCCACGTAGGCTTTTGCAGAAGCTGTGCGGCTTCCTAGATTTTGCAAAACCAGCCAGTGGCGGTGGGATTGTCCAAGGGGCCAGCGCTCTCCCCCCGCCCCGGGGACAGCGTCCGGGCGCTCAGTGGGCTTTGCATCGGGGTGGGCTCGCGGCACGGGGTCCCGCTTTTCGGCTGCAGCGATGGAAGAGAAGTGTGCATGGAGAAGTGGCTGGCCGGCTTGCTTTCGGGAGTGGGGAGCGGGATGCACTCCGGGAGCGCCGTGCAGGTCCCCGCCGCACCACACTCGGTCTCTCTCTGTACAGCCTGGGTCGTCTCACATCCTGCCACCTGGCTTCTCAGGAAAGCAGTGGTATTAAGTAAAGAAGGAGCTCAGCTCTTTCGGAGCTGGCTTTGTTTGGAGTTCCCTCTGCTGAGCCTTCCTTGGAAAGCTGGTCTGCTCAGGTGTCACCGGGCGGCTTTTGGGGGGAAGCATGTTAATGAGAGCCTTCCGGACCCTAAACCTGCAACACCGGCTTGCTCAGCGGCCAGCCAGACAGACAGCCGTGTTGCTTTGACGTCTTGGAGATTCTTTGTACAATTTTTGACTTGTTGGAGCAGTGCCTCTCAACGGTGGAAGTATTTGTTGGTAAATCATTCATAAGTATCCGTATCGCAGACAAAAATGTTTGTCCAAAGACTTCGAGTGAGGAATGAGTGCAGTGAGTTCAAGAAGAATCTCATTGATCCTAGTGACCAAAAATAACGGGAGGGGAGGGATGATCTTTAAGTAAGACTCTGGGGTAACAGATGTAGGAATTACATGGGAAAGGTATTACTACATTTTTTTTGGCATGGAAGAGCATTATAAATGTATCAGATGAATGTATATTTTAATCTTAAATGTGGAGAAGCCCCAGAACTGGAAACTTGGGCAGTAGGTTTCTCTTTAAAGGAGTCAGACTTGGAGGCTGTGCACACCTGAATCCGTGAAGGAGGCCACGCTGGTTATGAAATACTGTCTTTACGTGTCTTGCATATGGTTTACAGCTCTCACTGGTTTAGATCCGTGCTGAATGATCCCAAGATCCAGACAACAGGAGAGTGAGAAAGGCAAAACAAGGCAGCCCCTCATTTGTTAGAACTCTCCCTACTGCCTGTCTGTGTTCATCCAGGAGTGCCAGGCCCTGTGGCCACAGGTGTGCTGCTGTGGGCATGGAGGGTGCAGGTGTCGGGAGACCCGGCTTCCAAGGCAGGACTCTTCCGGCATGGCTGTGGGGCCTGTGCAGGGCCTGTGACACTGTTGCCTTGGCTGCAGACCGAGGTGGTTGTATGAATTCAGAGAGGGGAGTAGAGCCTACTCCCCTTCTTGGCTTTTAGCTCCAGCCTCACCGTGGCGTTGGCCTTCAGTGGGTGACCAGACAGCCTTGTTGGCTGGGTTCATGGGTGGATGCATGGATGGATGGAAGAGCGGCATTGTGAAAGAGACCATGCTATGCCTCGAAGGAGACATGTGTGTCGTATTTCTGTCCCTTCCTTGTGTCTGCAGTCCCGTGGTGATTTTGCCCAATCCATCTGCTGGGAATGTTGGCTATCACAGAAGAGAGCACCATGCCACCCAGAGAGGGACTTCTCCCAGACCCCACCCAGCAGTCAGGAGAAGAATCCCAGTCCAGAATGACCACCAGAAAGCTCCTTGACAGCAGTCGGGCACCGTCTGCTTCCCACCCACCCTCCTTCTAGTGGGCCACAAGAATTCAGGCTGTCGGTGGCTTCCCCAAAATCTGGGTTTCTTCTCCCTTACACAAAGGTTTAGCATCTTCCTCAAGGGGAAAGTTGCCCTGACAAACCGTATGATGCAGGAGTGGGATTGACAACTGTTAGGAAACTTCCCAGGGATTTTTTTTTTATGCTCTGAAATTGTCTGCATCTTCTTGGAAATTCACCCTTCCCCGGGACTAGTGATTGAGAGCTGGCTCTCTGCACAGCTCCACCCTGGAGAGGTCCCATGGTCACTCACATCCTTCCGTGCTGTTGGCATGGGTTATTGATGCCAGCCTTTGCCCTTACTCCTCTTTGTCCCGAGTGGCCACCTTGTTGAAAGTTTCTTCCTTGCATGCATCCAGATTTTCATTTCTTCCACCAAGTGATGACGCGTGAAGATTTTAGGGTGCGAGGCGGGCTGGAAATGCATGCATATGAGTGTGGGTACCTACGTGGTGGTCATACACTCTGCTTGGCAGTGGCATTGAAACGATGGAGCTCCTATGTCTGTTGTCGGATGTGTAGAATTTCCTAGTCCGTTGTCATTCTTCGTGTCTTACTTGGATGTAGTTAAGCTCAATGGCCAGGTTCTGAAGGGATGTTCTTGAAAATAGCAAAGCTTCTTGTTGGACATAAGCTTCTTGGTTGGTTATAAAAATGTTTGGTTTTAACCGGTTATAAATATCATCATAAACTTCACAAATAAGCCCTCTGTGCTTCTTCTGGGCACTGGAGAGGAAACCCCAGTCAGCAGGCTAGGTGACAGCATGAAGCTGCCGGTTTCTCATAAGACGTTTACCATTCTCCCGGCGTAAGGAGGGAGTGCTTCAGAGAGAAGTCGAGACTTGCCCATGAGCAGAGATTACCCGGTGGTGGGCTTGGGGAGGTAGCCTCGGTCTCATCTTTCTCTGCTCCTGAGATGGAGCAGCTGTTCCCAGTGGCGTCCCCGCGGCACGGGAGCTGACATGGGTTTGTGGAGCAGGCCCTGGTGCTGATGCACACTTGGCTGCCTGGCAGACATTACTGAAAACATGGGTTATCCCCCTCCTCCTCGGCATCCACCCCCCCCCCGCACCCCCCCTTCTCTTGTTTAGACTAATCTGTAATGGTGATGTAACTTACAACAGTCCAGTGTGAGTTCATCTTTGGGGCCAGCTAGTATCCTGGGAGTCGAGTGACTAAGATCCTTGGCCTCCAGATTGGGGTAATGGCAAGATCAAACAGCGGGGTTTCCTGCAGGTAGATATATAGGAGCAGCTTCAAAGGCTAACGGGTTCTTCCCCCTCCTCTTCAGGTGGTGGAGAGCACCATGGCTGAACAACTGCTTCCTCAGGCTTTGTATTTGAGCAACATGCGGAAAGCTGTGAAGATCAGAGAGAGGACCCCAGAAGATATTTTTAAGCCCACCAATGGGATCATTCATCACTTTAAAACCATGCACCGATACACGCTGGAAATGTTCCGGACTTGTCAGTTTTGTCCACAGTTCCGGGAGATCATCCACAGAGCTCTCATTGACAGAAACATCCAGGCTTCCCTGGAAAGCCAGAAGAAGCTCAACTGGTGTCGGGAAGTCAGGAAGCTGGTGGCTCTGAAAACCAATGGTAAGGGGGCCCCTTCGGGTTGCCTTTGCCTGGGGCAGGGGAGGTGGGGAGCTGGCTCCCCTGGTGCTGGGTCCTCATTCCTTAAGTTTTGGTAGCACCAGCCCAAACTCAAGTCTCTTGGGGCCATAGACCCCATAGTGTAGAACCTCTCAGAGAGCAAGCTTGTTCTGAAAACATTTCTCTTAAGGCTGTTTTCTATGATTAGACTGCAGCGTGCACGCAGGCCTAGAGAATGCCTCTCCGTTTAGCTGATTTGTGTTTCTAATTCTTGCAGTGATGCGATTCCCTAGCCAATAATGAAAATATTAAAAGGCTTTCAGTTCAGACACAAGGCATGGTGTGCAAACTGGCATTACTCTCCTGAGCAGATACTGTGTGTGGTGTGCTTGGACTCTGGAAATTAATTGGTGGCATTTTGTGGGTTTAACCAGTGAATGGCTATTGTGGATGTGAAGGGCTTGTCTCCGCCTACCTTACCTAGGTCCTATTGCCTCTGGTTCTAGCAGATGAAATAGAAAATAAGTGAGATTTTTAGTGTGAATTTTAGACCTCTGCTTCATGACTTTTGGGGATTCCTAGCCGTTGGATTTCTTCTATGCCTGTCTGCCCCAAAGGTCTTTTCTCCATAAGCACTGTTTCCCACTCCAGGCTTTACTCTGATTTTTTAAAATTATTTCCATTGAGCAAGAATGTGTGCATGTTAGAAACATCTAAGCATAATAAAGGTTCTATTTTTTGGATATAGATAATTGTTTTAAGAAGTAGACTGTCCAAGACCAAAGAAGAGCTGGAATCTCAGGTCCTTATATCTGTGACAGTCTTAAACTGTCTGACCGAAATAATAAGTCCAAGAGCAGAAAATCTTGGTTGACAATGGTTCTGAAAAGAGCATGAATTCATTTAATTGGTCCATTAACTTTGGCTGTTTCTGACTTGGATCACTTAGAGTGATTGGCAAATGTGTGTTTTGCTTTATTTTGATTCTGGGTCTTTTGTACATCACCTCAACATCTTGCCTATATTTATGGAAGCTTAGACTCTTAGAAACATGGGTAGAGAGCCAGCTGGGGATAGCTCTTGTCTACTTTGTTCTTGGCATTAAATCAAGTGATGAATAGAAGTAGGTAATTATATTAAGTCCTCATCAAGGGGCTTATATACCTGACAGTTTGTGGTTTCAGCTCTCCCATTTTGTTAACAAAAAAAAGGGTGGCATTGGGAGAGTTAGTTGGAAACACAAACACTGCCAAATTAGAATTGGGATGGAAAGGGGAAAACTTTACTATCATTCACTGAAATAACTAACATTTTGCTGTATTTCCTTTTATAAAAAAAGGACTGTAAAATAGTAAACACTTACTTTGCCAATGTCATTTAATTAAATCAACAAGGATCCATGCTATGAATAAGACTATAAAAGCAAGTGCATTTTGATAACATTTTCTGGGAAATATGGTTTTTTTTTTTTTTAAAGGCTCAGAATCCCTTTATTGCCCACTGTCAAGAAAATTCCTTGAAATTCCCAAAAAGGGAAGATGTGTTATTTAAGGGAGGAGAGAAGTGACTTTCCTTCTCTGTTTTGTTAGTAGCACTCTTTTCTTCTAAAAGCCTTCCCGCTGTAGGAGAGGTCTTCAAAGTCAGTGGTCTCTTTGGGGGCTGGGGGTGATTCACAAGTTTGCATTTGAGGATATGAGACTGCGGTGAATGAGGAAGGGAGTAGGTGGCATAAAATTGAAACTTCATGTGAACAATTCCAGCGTCTATTGGCTGCAGCGATTTCACTTGTATAATGAGTAGCCTTATTCCAGCTCAGCCTGACCACACCCCCTTGGAAAGTCCAGGGTGCAGTTGGCAGTTTAAATGTCTACACCCCAGAACAAAAAGTACAATAGCTTGTTGCTCAACTGCTAGTCAAATAACTGAGCACTGGGGAATTCCAGATGTTACTTAGGGAATTTCATACTGGTGTATCTCAATAAAGAACTGAAAGTAAGCACATGAAGAAGAAGAAAAAAAGCCTTATCTTTGCTCTAGATTTTGCAAAGGGGAAATTTCAACAGAATGCAACCATTGCCACACTTTTGCCAAGGCACAAGGCTTGAGCTATCTTTTGTGTTTATTGGTTTGAATTCTTTACTTAGCTGATTCTTCTATGTGGGTAAAATTGAAGAGTTACTGGCTGTGGATGTGTTTATTTGAGTTTTTTGTTGATTTTGCTTTTTAATACAGTTTGGCTATAATTCAAATTTGATAAAAATTTCAATTAGCTTCATTGCCCTGCTTAGGGAGTGATGTAAGAAGACATTTAACTTTGTTTACAAAAAGCTATTTTGCACTTGCCAAAGCAAGTGTGCGTTATTTTGCACATGCCAAAGGAATGTGCATGAAACATTCAGGAGTTAACTTTTTGCATTAAACATTCTCCCAAAATGTTTATTATTGGGGCAACAGGGGGTGGCTGAGAGAAGGTGTGATCTATTAAATGTGTATCTTACCCTGGAAAAGTCAGAAGTGAAAGGAATAAAAGCAGACCCTGATCTCCAAATGCCTGCCCTAAACGCTGAATTATTTTCAAATGTAGACATCCAAGTGCTTTTGAACTTTGCAAAAGAACTTTACAATTGCTCACATGCAGGTTCACCTAAGGCGCTCCTGTGGCTGGTCCTGGCAGGCCATAGGTAGCCTTACTTTGCATACCAGCCCAGCAGCCTCCCAGTCCCAAAGGCTAAAGTGCAATGGTCAAGTCGCTCACCGCTGTCCCTGTCTAGTACACCCAGCCCCAGCCCCAGCCACGCCTGCTTCCTGCTTTGCACCTGCTGCACTCTGTTCTCACTGGGAGCTGGAGAGCAGCCGTGCCAGTGCCTCAGCCAGGACTGTTAGGAAGGGATGAGTCTGTGGGGATCCCAGTGCAATGCCCTCACTTCACAGTAGGGAGAAACACCTGCAGAGCTTGCGGACTTTCCCCCAAGGTCACCTACAGGAGGCAGGACAGAGCCAGGTGGGAGCAAACCACTCTCCCCTAGCTCCCTTGCTGTTGGCAGTCCTGAGAAAGAACAATGACAAGACCTGCTTTCTCTCTGAAGCGCGTCACCGTGTGACATGCTCTCAGTGGCCCCTGATTAGCAGAGCCAGTTTATCCTGGAAGCCCTAGCTGGCCCTTACACGCTGGTTCCCTCACTTTGCCTCCCTCTCCTTCCCTGGGGTGTGCAGGTGACGGGAACTGCCTCATGCACGCCGCGTGCCAGTACATGTGGGGCGTGCAGGACACAGACCTGGTGCTGAGGAAGGCCCTCTTCAGCACCCTCAAGGAGACGGACACCCGCAATTTCAAGTTCCGCTGGCAGCTGGAGTCCCTCAAATCCCAGGAGTTTGTGGAAACGGGGCTGTGCTATGACACCCGGGTATGTAGCATTCTGCTGTCAAGCCTCTGGTGGGGGAGGGGTGCCCTGGGCATGGGATTTACAACAAGGTCACATGAATTTGGCTGAGCGAAGCGTACTGGATGGAAAGCACCAGCAGCCTCCTGTGGGATGAGCCTGAGGCTCTGGCCAGTCCGGAGGCCTTGGGGTGGCCAGTTCCCAGGCGTGGGGCTCTTGGTTTCAGCAGAGGGTCTCGATCACCACCTTCTCCTGGGGCGTTGTTTGCTGTCGCTCAGTGTCACTGCCTTGCCCATGCTCTGCTGAGCAGCCAAATAGACATGCGCCTTACTGCTCTCAGCCACAGGTGTGGAGTTTTTGCGTATGTTTGTGACGAGCTTCAATGTGAGGCCTCATCAGGGAGAGTTTTTTTTTTTTTTTTTTTAAGAGCAGGTGCTGTCCTCATCCTCCTCCCCCACGTTTGAGTTTGCCTTGTAGTGGAAAAAAAGTAAAGGAAGAAAACCAAAATGGGGGAAAGGGCAATCGTCTGAATGATTTCAAGAAAGGGGGCTATGGGCTGTGTTACCTAAATGAAAAATTGCAGAGTGAGGTCAGAGTGACTTGGCAAGGCCGAGTATGTTCAACCTTTTCTCCCTTGTACCCTTAGAACTGGGACGATGAATGGGACGACCTCGTCAAAATGGCATCCACAGACACCCCCGTGGCGCGAGGCGGGCTGCAGTATCACTCCCTGGAAGAAATACACATATTTGTCCTTTGCAACATCCTCCGAAGGCCCATCGTGGTCATTTCAGGTAAGACACCCGCAGGTCACTGCCGTCTTCAGTGCCACGCGGCCTTGGTGCTTCGGCTCTTAGCAGAGGCCCACGCGACCCAAGTTAGAGGTGACGCTAGCTGGGTGGAAGCTACTGGAAGTCACCTGAAGCCCTTCATTTCCTTTCTCTTTCCTTAAACAGACAAAATGCTGAGAAGCTTGGAATCAGGTTCAAATTTCGCCCCTTTGAAAGTGGGCGGGATTTATTTGCCTCTGCACTGGCCTGCCCAGGAGTGCTACAGATACCCCATCGTCCTCGGCTACGACAGCCAGCACTTTGTGCCTCTGGTGACCCTGAAGGACAGTGGACCCGGTGAGAAAACTGAGCGTCAATTCATGTGACAGTTCCATGAGCTTCCAGATGGCAGGGAGCGTTTAGGAGCATGGAGGTGTAGTGCTTTCAGTAGCAGGAATCGTGATACCCCCACATCTCTGTGGCCGACTGCCACGTGCTGTCAGCACGGTCATAGCAAGTAGGACATGGACACACATACGTAGGACTGCTCTGACTGCTGTTGCTATGTGGTAGATGAAGGCGCACACAGGGCCGGACTGGGCTGGCTGTTACCTTCCTAGGGTTATTTGGTAGCGGGCACTGTGCTTTCAATAGGTTCTATTTCTTTCATTCCATCTGCACAGCATCCCTGTGAGATGCAGGCATTGACAGCGTTAGTTCACAGGTGGGATGGGCGAGGCTCCCAGAGGCAAATCTGCACCTCTTGTAACGAAATAGTGACGGAAGTAGGATTCTAACTGAGGTCGCTCTGATGCCATAGTGTGGGAAATCAAGCCATAGGATGCACCACTTCCACGCCACTCACTATTCCATTAGCTTCCTGGAAATAAGCGTGCCTGACACATGGCAGGGTTTGGCGCTTTCTGTTTTCCTTTTTGCGTTTAACTGTGCTGAGATAATGCTTTGCTGTTCTTTCTGCATTTTCCAAATGTACTCACTGTTTGCTTGACTTTCCCTAGAACTTCATTTAGTGGCATTGTATTTACCTATGTCCTGTTTTCTCCCACAGAAATCCGAGCTGTGCCCCTGGTTAACAGAGACCGAGGAAGATTTGAAGACCTAAAAGTCCACTTTTTAACAGATCCTGAAAATGAGATGAAGGAGAAGCTCTTGAAAGAGTACCTGATGGTGATCGAAATCCCAGTGCAAGGCTGGGACCACGGCACGACGCATCTGATTAACGCCGCGAAGTAAGCAGTTTGCGTGTAGCGCCCTTCTTCATCCGTCACTTTGTGCTTCGGCTGTGTAAGCTGGTGCCACGGCCAAGCTCAGCAGCACAGTTCCTCACAGCCAGTTTCCTCCGGGGTGAAACAGATTCGGTGTTCAGTGCACGAATGGGTCAGGGTCAGCCACAGGAGAACCAGCTTCAGTTTCAAATGGAAAGAAGTCGTTCGTCCACACTGGTTTTCCTGGATGTCTGGATGTGGAGAGTTAGAACTGTGGGTTTGAGATGTGTGTCTAGTGGTAGGTGTTCAAGCTCACTGAAGATGGCACATTAGGGTGCCTGAGTTCGAGTCCCAGCCCCAGCTTCTTGCTGGTGTAGGCCGTGGGAGGCAGTGGTGATGGTTCAAGTCATTGGGTTCTTGCCACCTGCCTGGGAGGCCTGGGTCATGTTCCCAGCTCCCTGCTCTGGCCCCAGGCCAACCTCAGCTGTTAACAGGCATCTGGGGCATGAACCACAGGATGGGAGCTTTCTGTTTCTCTTTCTCTCAGTGTCTTTGCATGTCATAATTTTTTATTTAAGTGCATTTATGTTAAGGATAGTTTCCTTGTTGTTCTTAATTGCTCTAGTACATTCAGGAGTTTCCAGAAGTTCATAGAAAAGTATAACTAAAAGATAAGTTTGAGGGCTAGTGCTATGGCGAGGCCGGCTAAGCCACCACCTGCAATGCCGGCATCCCGTGAGAGCACAGGATTGAGTCCCAGCTGCTCTGCTTCTAATCCAGCTCCCTGCTAATGTGCCTGGGAAAGCAGTGGAGGATGGCCCAAGTCCCTGGATCCCTGCACCCACATGGGAGACCTGGATGAAGCTCCTGGATCCTGGCTTCACCCTGGCCCAGCCCTGACCACTGTGGCCATTTTGGCAGTGAACCAGTGGATAGAAGATCTCTCTTTCTCTCTATCTCTCCCTGTTTCTCTGTAACTCTGTATTTCGAACACATACTTTTTTAAAAAAATGTTTGTTTTGGTGCAAAACAGTTTTAAAATCTGGCATAGTTTGTTTATAATACACATTTTCCATGACCTTTCAGAGGTACCATCATATTAAAAAGACAAGCAAGTGAACACTCTTAGAAAGAAGCCTTTTTCTCTTGGCTTTTTGACAAGGACAGACCCAGAGTGGCCTGTAGAGTCTGTTTATGTGACAGTCCATGATTTTGTCACCTGGCAACAGGATGAGAGCCCCAGGGTATAGACTGAGTGGATATCAAGTCTTTTTTTTTTTTTTCAAAGATTTATTTACTTATTTGAAAGTCAGAGTTACACAGAGAGAGGAGAGGCAGAGAGAGAGGTCTTCTGTCCAATGGTTCAGTCCCCAGATGGCTGCAACGGCTGGAGCTGCGCCAATCTGAAGCCAGGAGCTTCTTCCCAGTCTCCCACACAGGTGCAGGGGCCCAAGGATTTGGGCCATCTTCCACTGCTTTCCCAGGCCACAGCAGAGAGCTGGGTTGGAAGAGGAGCAGCCGGGACTAGAACCGGTGCCCCATAGGATGCCAGCGCTTCAGGCCAGGGCATTAACCCACTGCGCCACATCGCTGGCCCCGGATATCAAGTCTTTAAACCCTGGCTTAAAGAGCTGCCTGTTGCTGAGACCTGGAAATGCACACGAGATGGCAGTGAGGGCAAAAGAGAATCACTTTCTCAAAGTGGAGACTTGCAGATGGCGGACTCAAAAGTAAATACGGCGCTTGGGAGTCTGCCTCTTCTTTAGTCATGGCAGTGAAGGCTGGTGGAGACGAGGCGCGAGGTTAGAATTAATAACCACAAAATAGAGAGGACACAATTCCACAGTGGACTGTACTCGTCCCAAGCGAACGGCCTGGGTTCCGTCTCACTGCACATTTGGCCTCCCAGAAGTGAGAAAGGAAAAGTGGCACAGCGAGCTTTGTGAAGAAACCAGAGAGTGAGCAGGTGCAGAGGCAGCCGCGGCCGAGCCCTTTCCTTGGAATTCCCGGTGACTGGCTGCACCAGGACTGGGTGGCTGAGGTGGTGACCTCTAGCAGCTGCAGACTGGTTCCTGCGATGTTTGCCTCTGGAACACATTAGCAGATGTGTCTGACCACATCACACTGGCAGGGCAGGCCCTTGGTGGGGACCGCGTTTCAGTGACTGGTTCTCAGCCCCGCTCGTGTGTGGCTCTGTGTCATCTCATGTGTTTTCCCTTTTCATCTCCAGGTTGGATGAAGCCAACTTGCCCAAAGAGATCAATCTGGTCGACGACTACTTTGAACTTGTGCAGCACGAGTACAAGAAATGGCAGGAAAACAATGACCAGGGGAGGAGGGAGGTGCACACCCAGAAGCCCGTGGAACCTTCCAGGCCCCAGCTCTCGCTCATGGATGTCAAATGTGAAACGCCCAACTGTCCTTTCTTCATGTCCGTGAACACCCAGCCCCTGTGCCACGAATGCTCCGAGAGGCGGCAAAAGAACCAGAACAAACTTCCAAAGCCGGGGCCAGAGGGGCTCCCGGGTGTGGCGCTTGGGGCCCCTCGGGGAGAGGCCTGTACGGAGTCCTCAGCCTGGCGGCCCGAGGAGCCAGCTGGGGGGCCGCATTCGGCGCCGCCGACAGCCCCCAGCCTTTTCCTGTTCAGCGAGACCACGGCCATGAAGTGCAGGAGCCCTGGCTGCCCCTTCACGCTGAACGTGCAGCACAACGGATTCTGCGAGCGTTGCCACCACGCGCGGCAGCTCAGCGCGGCCCACGCCGCGGGCGACTCGAGGCATTTGGACCCTGGTAAGTGCCGGGCGTGCCTCCAGGACGCCACCAGGACGTTTAATGGGATCTGCAGTACTTGCTTCAAAAGGACTACAGCAGAGCCCTCCTCCAGCCTCAGTGCCAGCGTCCCTCCCTCGTGTCACCAGCGCTCCAAGTCAGACCCCTCGCAGCTCATCCAGAGTCTCTCCCCGCATTCTTGCCGCAGAGCTGGGAACGACACCCCCTCTGGCTGCCTCCCCCCGGCCGCACGGACTCCAGTGGACAGGACGGGGACAAGCAAGTGTAGAAAAGCTGGCTGCACGTATTTCGGGACTCCAGAAAACAAGGGCTTTTGCACCCTCTGTTTCATCGAATACAGAGAGAACAAACGTGAGTGCCATGGTTGATCTCCCAAAGCGGGGGTTTGTTCCTGATCTTCGAAAGGGGGAGTCCATCCGGGCAGCTGGTTGGAATGGTCAGAGCCCAGCCTGCTTCTGTACCAGGGGTCAGAGTGGCTTGGCCAGCTGCACAGGGAGGCAGAGGGCATGGTGGGGTCGCAGCAGCTGCGAGGTGCCACCACATTTCCAAGAACCCGTGGTACCCTGCAGATGGAGCACATGAAATTGGTTTTCGTAATGCCATTCTGTGTGTGGCATTTACGAGAGAGTTTCAACTAGACTTCTGCAACTTTGGGCTAATAAGGAAATCTGGAAATCTAGGGGGTAGGACAGCCTTGACTGACAGAAGGAAACATTTGGGGTCTGGGAAATCTGAATTTGAAAGGGACACAGGCAGTAAGTGTCTGCTGTGTGTCCTGGAACCATCCCCGGTCAGCGTGCCTTGTGCAAGCTGGGCAACTTGTAAAGCAAAGGTGTTTCAGAAACGGTAGTATCATTTCGGCTGCGTTTGTAGCAGTCTGCTCGCCGCATCTGTGTTTGGAATCCATGTATTTCTGTACCGTGAGTGTCGCTGGGGCCTCGTGGTGACCCGTACATTGTGCTGATCAGCATCCACTTTCTCGTAGATTTTGTAGCGTCCTCGGGGAAAGCCAGTGCCGTGGCCTCCAGGTTCCAGAACACCATGCCATGCCTGGGCAGGGAATGCGGCACCCTCGGCAGCACCACATTCGAAGGCTACTGTCAGAAGTGTTTCATTGAAGCGCAGAATCAGCGATTTCACGAAGCCAAGAGGACAGAAGAGCAACTGGTGAGCAGTCCTCCCCCAGTGCAGGTCAGGCCTCCCCTTCGGGATCAGCTCCTCCCACCTGTCACAGGCAGGCTCTCTCCCCTCGGGCTCTGTGTCCCCGTGATAAAGGATCATTTTACAAAGTCACGGGGCCAGCATTGTGGCACAGCAGCTTAAGCTGCTGCCGGTGATGCCAGCATCCCAAATATGAGCACTGCTTGCAGTCCCAGCTGCTCCACTTCCGATCCAGCTCCCTGCTAATGCACGAGGGAAGCACCAAAGGATGTACCTGGGCTTCTGCCACCCACTTGGGAGACCAGGCTGGAGTTCCAAACTCCTGGTTTTGGCCTGACCCAGCCCTGGCCCTTGCAACCACTTGGGGAGTGAACCAGTAAGTGGAAGATTCTCTCTCTCTCTTTCTCTGTCTCCCTCTCTCTGTCACTCAAGTCTGCAGGAAGATCTAAGGGATAAAAATCCCATTCACCTTATCTTCCCAGATTGGAGGGACTGCTATTGATTTCCTTGAACTAAGTATACTTTAGAAGTCATTTTATAAAGCAGATAAAATCTGCCATAGAATAAAACCTCTTCAAGCTTCCAAAAAGCCAGGTAGTAATCCAAGATTTCTTGAATTGTGGCAGAAACACAGACATCGCAAAGGCAGGCTTCTTCAACGATCCTTTATCACAGGGAGAGAAGGCAGAAGCCAGGGGATTCCGCTTAGCGGCCTCAAAGCAGGCCTGCAGCTAGCTGTAGAGCGGTAGGAATTGGCTAAGTAAGCACAGCCGGTCCTCAGTCCCGATAGAAGAGAGGTGGGCCGGCTTCACTGCCAGTGGTGGTGGGCTTGACCTCCCCAGGGCGAGGTCCAGTTTCCTGGGGATCGGAAGGCCATGTCCAGCTCGCTGACAGCACCTGCCCGCTGCTCCCTTGCAGGGGTGTGGAATCTGCTGTGTCCAATGAGATCTTGTGCCCTCCCTTTGAAACACGAGCCACAAATCTGTCTGTTCTTCCCACCCAGAGATCGAGCCAGCGCAGAGACGTGCCCCGAACCACACAGAGCAGCTCCAGGCCTAAGTGCGCCCGGGCCACCTGCAGGAACATCCTGGCGTGCCGTAGTGAGGAGCTCTGCATGGAGTGCCAGCACCTCAGCCAGCGCGTGGGCTCCGGCGTCCCCCGCGGAGAGCTCGCCCCCGAGGAGCCCCCCAAGCAGCGCTGCCGGGCCCCAGCCTGCGACCACTTTGGCAATGCCAAGTGTAATGGCTACTGCAACGAGTGCTTTCAGTTCAAGCAGATGTATGGCTGACGGGAAACAGGCCAGCTGCCGTCAACGTGGTGCTATACTCCAGGCCTCCAGAGCCCACTGGAGGGGCAGTGCCCGCCACGGGGAGTGGGCTCAAGCGTGGCTGAGCAGGGAACGACAGATAAGCTCTTCATCCAGGCCGTGATGGGGATGGGCTCGGGTTTGGTGACCGGGGCGTCCACCCAGCAGAGCCGGGGACTGGATCCTCCCATGCCACCATGTGGAAGGCCCGGAGCATCTCCGGACCCGGACCCTGCCCATCGGGACTGCCTCGTCGTCTTGTTGAGGAAAGGGAGAGCTCACCCAGGCGGGTGGGCTGGGAGAGCCAGGGCCTCGCCCCCTGCCCTGTCACCACCCCACTCAGAGGGGGGAAGCTGAAGCCTCGTGGGACAGAGGCCCTCTGCCCGAAGCTCAGGGAGACGCCCACGTCCAGAGAGTGTCAGGAGTCCACCGTGTCCCCACCTGCCACGTCCCCTTCCCTGTGAGCCGGCCAGAGAGCAGAACGGACTGTGACGGAGCTGCTGGGACCGACGCTGTCAACGATGGAAAGGAAGCAAGCTGCTCTTTACAACGTGCACCTTTGAAAACTCAGAATATTTTAGTGGGAAAATGTGTAACTCTCTTGGTTATCATTGTCTGCTGAAGAGGTTCGCTTGAACCAAGGTGTGTGTAAATCTGTGTACATAGGTGATACACCCTTATGTATGAGGGATTTTTTATTATTATTAATAATAGAGGTATATGTGGGAAGACTGAATAATAATAACCTATTTTCTGGTTGTTGCTGGGGCACCACCTGTATACACAGCTTCCGTGAACTCAACCAGCTGCCTTTGGAAAGGGAGCACTCCAGTTGTGTCTGTGTAATCCGCTTTATTTATTTTATTACCAATGTCAAGATTATTTAAATGAAGCTGTTTCCTCAGCTCTGGGGAAAGGCTGCAGTATCTCCTGTGAGATAGCATCTTTGCTTTGGTCGCGTTCCGGACCCAGGCGAGCTCCTGACCACAGCAGGGAGTGGAGCTGCCTGCAGACACCTTGCTGCTTGCCTCCCTTGGCGAGAAGGAATTGTATCAGGAGGAAATCCATTCGAATCTCATGCCTCCCCCTCTGATTTGCTAAGAAGTTGTCCTGTGTTATGGGTGCTTCTGAGTATCCTACCTCCTTGGAGATATGATAGGCAAGAAGTAGGCATGAGATGGGGAGGGCGGTCACAGGGCAAGATGTGACTTTTCGTCGTGGTTTCATTTGCTGTGTTAATGCTGTGTCCTGGGGTTTTAGGCAGTGGCCTTGAGTCCAGCCGTGGGACACAGAAACCAAGTAGGAAGCAAGAGGATGAGGATGTGTGTGTGTGTCATTGGCCTGCAGTTTCTCTGTGTGCTTTGTGTTATTGTCATTGTTACTCAGAAAAAAAAAAAAAAAGAAAAAAGAGGGAAGTGTGTTTCTCCCAGGGGTAAAGGCTGCCAGTTTTGGGGTCTAGAGTCGTCACCCCAAAATATCTGTGATCCATAACTCTACATAGCCTTCCCTCGTGTTACCTGACATGTCTGTTCGCTGATGTAAATCTTTATGATTTCTTGCTAAAGATGTCAAAGAAACATCAGTGTGTTCACCTAGTTCCTTTAAAGTTGATAGCCTAATATTTTGTCTATCAATATTTTCTTTCTTAATGTGAAAAGAAATGGAATTATTTATACTCGCTATAGAAAATATTTGAAATTTGCACATTTAGTTGTCTCATACTTTGTTGAATTCCTTGGTTTTCCCGAATAAGTGTAACTTTCACAAGAGTCAATATTAAAAAATAAATTATTTAAGAACATATTTTGATGTTTTTTTATTGATGAACACTGAAACAAAGCCTCAAATATGAAAACAGCTTTCTAAGCAACTATATTTTGGTGTACATTTGGGCAAAGAATACTTCCCTCATCCATGGATAGTGAAGTTGCTTTAAAAAAATGATACGACTGTGTGAGGGTAGGGCTGTGCTGTGACAGACTGGCTGTCCCTCGGCAGCATGGTCACCAGTGTAGCTGTATTGAAAGGGGAGGACCCACCTTGAAGAGGTTGGATCTAGTGCCAGCTATTGGGGTGTAGTAGGTTAAGCTGCATCCGGAATCAGAGTGCCAATTCAAGTCCTGATTGCTCTGCTGGTGAGCCAGCTTCCTGCTAATGCTTCCTGGGAGGCAATGAATGCCTGGGACCCTGCCACCCTATGAGGGACTCAGATGGAGTTCTGGCTCCTGGCTTTGGCCTGTTGCAGCCCTGGCCATAGCAGGCATTTGGGAAGTAAACCAGTGGGTGAAAGATCTCTGTCTCTCTTTTCTCTCTCTTTGAAACTCTGCCTTTCTAGTACATGGAAATAAATACAATATATTTTTAAAAGAAGTAAGCACGTAGTGGGAAGTAATTAAGCCATGGAGACACCACTCAGAATGGACCAGTGCCTATCTCTTGAGAGTTAAGTTGGGTATCGTGGGACTGGATCAGTTACCACCAGAACAGGTGGTTATAAAGTGAAATCATGCTAAGTAGAGACTGGTTATTACTGCCTTTTCATTGTTAATGTTTCTTAAGGCTGTTTTGTTTTATTACATTGCTTTTTTTTTAAACTTTGACATGGTCTGTTTATTTATTTATTTTAAAGATTTTATGTATTTATTTGAGAGGTAGAGTCACAGGCAGTGAGAGGGAGAGACAGAGAAAGGTCTTCCATCTGTTGGTTCACTCCCCAGATGGCTGCAATGGCCAGAGCTGCACCGATCTGAAGCCAGGAATCTTCCAGGTCTCCCACACAGGTGCAGGGGCCCAAGGACTTGGGCCATCTTCTACTGCTTTCCCAGGCCATAGCAGAGAACTGGATTGAAAGAGGGGCAGCTGGGACTAGAACTGGCATCCTTATGGGATGCCTTTGCTACTAGTTTGTCAGAGCAATTGAGTCATTTGTAGGTATCCCACGTTGGAGATTTGGCTGATATGCTTCCCTGGGGTGTCATTGAACTTGTTCTTCTATACTTTTTTTGAGTCAGGGTCAACAAGGCAGGAATCATTGGCAGAGGTTGCTCTGTGTGTCCTGTTGCATGTTATCTGATACAAGCCATGTGAATACTTGTTCAGAGAAATCACAAAGGATCAAGGGAGGGGTCAGCACTGTGGCACAGTGGGGCTAATGCCCTGACCTGAAGCGCCGGCATCCCAAATGGGCTCTGGTTCGAGTCCCGGCTGCTCCGCTTTCCTGGGAGCAGCTCTCTGCTATGGCCTGGGAAAGCAGTGGATGATGGCCCAAGTGCTTGGCCCCCTGCACCTGCGTGGGAGACCCGGAAGAAGCTCCTGGCTCCTGGCTTCGGATCGGCACAGCTCCAGCCATTGCGGCCAATTGGGGAGTGAACCAGCAGATGGAAGACCTCTCTCTCTCTCTCTCTTTCTCTGCCTCTCCTCTCTCTGTGGGAAAAAAAAAAAAAGGATCAAGGGAGACCTTCTCTCCTTTTTACCATTCTTTCTCCCATCTATCACCCAGCCTGAAAAATTTCAGTTCTTCAGTCAACATGACGAACATAGCATTTGACCATAAGTCATCAGGATTTCTAGAACAGGAAGTAACTTAAAATTAGCAAGTTACTCTGACTCAGAAGCTTGGCACACAGGGAAATAGAGCAGGGTGGAGGGCACCAAGGGAGTCAGCAGGGCAACTGGGGGCTGCAGGCCCTAGAAAGGTTAGGTAAAAGGGCACTTCACAAAGTTCGTGGAAAATGGAAGTCTCAGTTTATTTTGGAGTCAAAGTTTTTGTTGGAAACCATGTTTTTTCATAATGCATATTTTCCGTGACCATTTTTATGACCCTCGTATAGTTCCACACTGCAGTGTGCGCATTGGTTTTGTCCACTGGGGTCTATGGCTTTCTTCAAAGTCTCAAATAAATAAATGGTTTTCTGAAAAGGCAAAGAGCCCAGGCATTAGAGGTCTAAAAAGTAGAGCTTGGAAGGAATGGGCTTTGCTTCAACTTGCCCAGAAACTCACTCCCATTGCTGCAAAATGTCACCTATAGACTAGGCATGAGGGAAGCTTAGATCACCCACAATTGAACTCATAATACTTGATGTCCATCCCTTCTTGCCAGGCTCGGGGAAGGGCATTCTTAGCTTTTTGACCACCTCTAGATTCCCCACCTCCCACACCCAGACTTCTGTGATGTGGTCTTCAGCATGTCCCCCAATCACTTCCTCCCTTTGCTCGTTGCCCATGCTTATAAATCACTGACCTGGTCATGGGTTTCCTCTAAGTTAGACCCCTGGCAGCTTCCTGTTGGTCCCAAAGCTCTCCCTTTGTCAGCACCAGTGGGTCACTGTCACGTGAGCAGTCTGGAAGTAACTGTGAGAGTGACTCAACTTAGGGAGTGTCAGTGGCTACTTCATGCATTCATTCAAAAATAGTGTAGCTTTGCTATCTACCAGCTCTCTCTTATCCACACATATAAACTTGGAGACCAAATTTCCTAGTCTGTTAAAAAATGACTGAAATGAAGAGTTTCAGAGGGTTTTGATTCAATTTGTTGGGAATATCAATTTATCTTTATATCTCTCAGCTAATTGATATCAAAGAAAAAAGGCATTTACCAGCTGAGTTTCGACAAATATTTACATATCTGATAGCTGGAAATTAAATATAATTAATTATTAATTAAGAGGAATAACAGATGATTTTTTTTCTGTCCATATTATATATTTTTTCTATTAAGTTTTCTTTTTCAGTGTGACAGTCATTAACATCAAGGATCACATTAAAATGAACATAGATTTTGGCATGGCATTATCACAAAATGATAGGTGATTTTGAGAAAAATATTGCGTTGTGGAGCAACAGGTTAAGCCACTACTGATTGCATCCCGCGTCAGAGTGCCAGTTGGAGTCCTGGCTCCTCTACTTCCAATTCAGCTCCCTGCCAATGAGCTCCCTGGGAGGCAGCAGATGGTGACTCAAGTACTTGAGTCCCAGCCTCCACATGGGAGACCTGGATGGAATTCAGGGGTTTCTGACTGATCCACCCCTGACAGTTGTGGGCCTTTGGGGAGTGAACAAGCAGGTAAAAGAACTCTCTCTTTCTCTGTCATCCTACCTTTGTCAAAAAGAATGAAGCATGTTTATTGTTAATTTTGATTTTTTTTTCCTTTTTGAGGTCAAAAAGTATTTTACTATTAATAAATACAATTGGTTTTAAAATTTTGCCCACTTCATCTTTATTTCATTGTTTTAAAATTCCTTTATCTTGTGATTGTTTTATACTTACAACTGTGCATTGTAATTGATTTAAACTTTATACATACATATATACATATATGTATACATGCACATGCTCATCAATGCTTTTAAAAATGGTACAAGATCAAAAGCATCTAGAGGCCAGCGCCACGGCTCACTAGGCTAATCCTCCACCTGTGGCGCTGGCACCCCAGGTTCTAGTCCCAGTCAGGGCGCCGGAATCTGTCCTGGTTGCTCCTCTTCCAGGCCAGCTCTCTGCTGTGGCCAGGGAGTGCAGTGGAGGATGGTCCAAGTCTTTGGGCCCTGCACCCGCATGGGAGACCAGGAGGAGGTACCTGGCTCCTGGCTTCGGATCAGCGTGGTGTGCCGGCTGCAGCGGCCTTTGAGGGGTGAACCAACGGAAGACTTTTCTCCCTCTCTCACTGTCCACTCTGCCCGTCAAAAAAAAAAAAAAAAAGCATCTAGAGTCCAATTTCCATCATTATATGCAATATTCTTTATAGTTTGAACCAATGAGCTATTTTAAATTTTAATTCCTGTTTTCTGCAGTATCAAGGCTAGATGGTTAGAATGGGACATCTTTTTGGCCTCAGGACTCCTTTATACTGTTAAAAATTATTCAGAACCCCACAGAATTTTTGTGTATATGTGTTGCACTTTTATATTTACCATTTGAGAAATGAAAGCGGAAAAAATGTTAAATCATGGAAAATGAAAGCAAACATTCCACTAGCTTCCAGAAGGATGACATCATCGTATGTTATGGGGCTTCTGAACACTTCACTGTACCTTCTGGATGGCCATCTGCTGTCCACTTTTTCTTCCTTCTTCCTATCCACCAGAATCTGGCAAAGTTCCTGCCTTCTGTTCTGCCAGATGTCAGGAGAAGAACTTGATATTTTGTCAAAGAAACATTTAGGTTCAAATCCTGGCTTCTACCTGTGACTAACTCAGCCTTGAAAAAGTTGCTTCATGTGTCTGTTTTTCAGTTTCCTCATCTGTTAACTGCTCATAAAATGCTTTAAAAATGTATTATGGAAATTTACCCCTCACCCAAACAGAAAATGCTCCTTTTAAAATCAGTAACCCACATGATGTTCTCTACCTTAGGGACATACTCGAATCACTCAGGACTTTCCAATGGTGCTGGTGCTAAGAGGTTCTCATCTTTGGCTTGGGATGGTGCTCT